ACCTGAAGAACTAATGGGTCACTCATTAGTCCGTATATTATTTTTATTTTAGCTTTGGGTGAATTATTCGCTTTCCAAATCGATTGTTTTTACTTTATTCCTGGCCATATCTTGTGCCAAGGGAAGAGTAGGATCAAAATCTTTAAGTTGAACGACCTAATTGGATATAAAACGTTAATACAATCAAGTGAAATTTAATAAAGAAGTTATTAAGCAAATCAATAGAGATGTACTACCCATTGATAAACAGACTGTAATTGTTCGGTATTAACAATAAAGCCAAAATCATTAGAGGGATCATTTTGTCTATGTATAATAGACCTTAATTCACGGCAAATACGTTGTGTAGCCGCTTTAGATGATTCCGCTGCAAAAGTGAAATAATTAAATTATACATTCATACTAATTTAAAATATATCGTACTTCAAAACATACCAGGAAGAGGCAACAAACTAAGGTCAAAACCGTCACCTAAATTGTAACGATTCATGTTAATAAATATTTATTAATAAAGTACAAAGTAATAAAAGTAACGATAACATACCCTCATCGACTTCAAACTTGTCTTCATTTTTTTCTTCAGTTTCCTTAAAGTTAAACTCATCGTCATCATCTTCATAATTATCATCGTCATCAAAATCCTCATCTTGATCATCATCATACATCTCTGCATATTCATCGCTATTTTCATTGTCATCCATATCTTGATCTTCCTCAGCATCATCATCCGCTTCATCCAAAGTGTCCTCATCGTTGACATCAAATCCGTTTGATTGATAACTAGAATCTAGTGATCCCTTTATCACATCTTGCGCATCCGGCTTGTAAACAAATTGACCTACGTCAACCGAACTTCCTTTTGGTATTTCATTATTGATTATGGAAAAGTCACGTTTAGGAATTTGCAATGGTTGATTATTGAACCACATCGGATAATATTGGCCATCTAATGTTATATATGTGTTGTCTCTTCGACGATTAATAAGAACGTTAGATAGCGAATTCGATAGTGATGTAGTAAAAGATGGCGTCATGTTATATAAAGGAACTACAGGGGTTGGTTGATAAGTTGGCGTCCAATCTTCATCTTCATTTTCGTTATTAGGATCTGATGGATCTCTCAAACACTCGACAAAAAGATAACGAGTTGTAATCCAATTTTCATCCTGAACCACTAAGTGAGGATTTGTGCTAATTGTCACATTCGAACAAGAATCGAGGAATAATTCGTTAATTTTATGATTTAACATTATATTTTTAAAAATGCATATATTACCTTCTGAACTGTGACGGCCTATTCACTATTTCACATAAAGCCATACATTTTTGGACAACCAACATCGAATTTTTCCATACACCTGTTTCATATCGATGATATGAAGCTCCAGCATATGATGCTGAGGTTGCAGCTTGAAGGGAATGATAAACTCCATCCCCAAATGCTCTTCCATGTACAACTTTTTTCCAATTAAGTGATGTTCTAGGAAGTTGTAAAATTAAATGAGAAAGAGTGCGACATAACTTTGTCACATCATTAACACGCACACGGACAAAGGTGGTATTACCGAATGATTGAATGCCAATTATGAAGTGGTGAACCGTGGAAAGCGAATAATTCACCCAAAGCTAAAATAAAAATAATATACGGACTAATGAGTGACCCATTAGTTCTTCAGGT